TTCCATCTCACTCCAGTCAGAATGACAATCACCAAGAATATAAGCAACAATAAACGTTGGTGAGGATATGGGGGAAAAGATATACTCATACATTGCTGATGGGACTGCAAATTGGTACAACTACTCTGGTAAGAAGTTAAACTCCATTTATTTTTTTAAATTTTGGGGGGGGTACCAGGGATTGAACTCAGGAACACTCAACCACTGAGCCACATCCCCAGCCCTATTTTGTATTTTGAGAAACAGGGTCTCACTGAGTTGCTTAACAACTCACTTTTGCTGAGGCTGGATTTGAAATTGTGATCCTCCTGCCTCAGCCTTCAGAGCTGCTGGGGTGAAAGGCATGAACCACCATGCCTGACATTATACTCCAAATAAATGACCTAATATTACATTTCAAAGCCCTAGAAAAAGAACAAACCACACCAAAAATAGAAGATAGGAAATAATTAAAAACAGAGGTGAAATCAAAGAAATTGAAACAAAAGAAATAATTGAGAAAACTGACAAAACAAAAAGTTGGTTCTTTGAAAAAATACATAAAAATGACAAACCCTTAGCCATGCTAATGAGAAGGAGAAAGAAAATTCAAATTATTAACATATGTGATGAAAAAGAAAATATCATAACACTACAGAAATACAGAAGATAATTTGAAATTATTTTGAAAACTTGTACTCCAATAAAATAGAAAACATCGAAGGCATTGAAAAATTTCTAATCACATTATTTTCCCAAATTGAATCAGGATGATATACACAATTTAAACAGTCAAGTGATGAAATAGAAGATGCCATCAGAAGGTTACCAGCCAAGAATAGCCCAGGACCGGATGGATACACAGATAAGTTCTACAAGACCTTTAACAAAGAACTAATACCAATATTCCTCAAATTATTTTGTGAAATAGAAAAAGAAAGAGCACTTCCAAACTTATTCTATGAGGCCAATATCACCCTGATCCCAAAACCAGGCAAACACACATCAAAAAAGAAAACTCTAGACCAATATCTCTAATGAACATAGGTGCAAAAATTCTCAATGAAATTCTGGCAAATCAAATACAAAAACATATCCAAAAGATAGTGCACCACAATCAAGTGGGGTTCATCCCAGGGATGCAAGGTTCATTCAACATACAGAAATCAATAAATGTAATTCATCACATCAATAGACTTAAAAGATAAGAATCATATGATTATCTCAATAGATGCAGAAAAAATATTTGACAAAATACAGCACCCCTTCATGTTTAAAATACTAGAAAAACTAGGGATAACAGGAACGTATCTCAACATCATAAAAGCTATCTATGCAAGACAGGGATGCTCTCTTTTACCACTTCTATTTAACATAGTTCTTGAAACATTGGCCAGAGCAATTAGACAACTGAAAGAAATTAAAGGGATATGAAATAGGAAAAGAACTCAAATTAATGCTATTTGCCAGTGATATGATTCTATACCTAGAAGACACAAAATATTCCACCAGAAAACTTCTATAAATAATAAATTAATTCAGCAAAGTAGCAGGATGTAAAATCAACACCCATAAATCAAAGGCATTTCTGTATATCAGTGACAAAGCCTCTGAAAGGGAAACAAGGAGAACCATCCCATTTACAATAGTCTAAAAAATATATATACATATATATATATATATATGTATATATATATATGTATGTATGTATGTATTTGAAAATCAACAAAATAGGTGAAAGACCTCTACAACAAAAACTGCAGAAAACTAAAGAAAAAAATTAAAGAAGACCTTAGAAGAAAGATCTAACTTGTTCTTGGATAGGCAGAATTAATATTGTCAAAATGACCATACTACCAAAAGCACGTACAGATTTAATGCAATTCCAATCAAAATTCCAATGACATGCCTCATAGAAATAGAAAAATAAGTCATGAAACTCATCTGGAAAAATAAAGAGACTCAGAATAGCTAAAGCAATCCTTAGCAAGAAGAGTGAAGTAGGTGGCATCAATATACCAGACCTTAAACTATACTATAGAGCAATAGTAACAAAAACAGCATGGTATTGGCACCAAAATAGACTGGTAGACCAATGGTACAGAATACAGGACACAGAGACTAACCCACAAAATTACAGTTATCTTATAATAGGCACCAAAAACAAACATCAGAGAAAAGATAGCCTCTTCAACAAATGGTGCTGGGAAAACTGGAAATCCATATCCAACAAAATGAGATTAAATTCCTATCTCTTACCATGCACAAAATTCAACTCAAAGTGGATCAATAACCTAAGAAATTAAACCAGAGACTCTGCACCTATTAGAAGAAAAAGTAGACCCAAATTTTCATCACTTAGGATTAGGCCCCAACTTCTTTAATAAGACTCCTATAGACCAAGAATTAAAATCAAGAATCAATAAATGGAGTGGATTCAAACTCAAAAGCTTCTTCTGAGCATAAAAACAAAACAAAACAAAAAAACAATCAGTGAGGGGAATAGAAAGCCTACATTTTGGGAGCAAATTTTTACCACACACACATCATCAGATAGAGACTAATCTCTAGGGTATACAAAGAACTCACAAAGTCTAAGCACCAAAAAAACCTAACACCCTAATCAATAAATGTGCCAAGGAACTGAACAGACACTTCTTAGAAGACGATATGCAATAATCAACAAATATACGAAAAAATGTTCAACATCTCTAGCAATTAGAGAAATGCAAATCAAAATTACTCATCTCACTCAAGTCAGAATGGCAGCTATTAAGAACACAAACAACAATAAGTGTTGGTGAGGATGTGGGGGAAAAGGCACACTAATACACTGCTGATGGGACTGAAAATTGGTGAAGCCAACATGGAAAGCTGTATGGAGAATTCCATGGAAAACTGGGAATGGAACCACCATTTTACCCAGCTATCCCACTCCTTGATCTACAGCCAAAGGACTTAAAAACTACTATAGGGACACAGCCACATCAATGTTTATAGCAGCACAATTCAAAATAAACTGTGGAACCAACCTAGATGCCATTCAGTAGATGAATGGATAACAAAAATGTGGTTTATACACAATGGAATATTACTCAGCATTAAGAGAGAATAAATCCTGGGATTTGCAGGTAAATGAATGAAGGTGGAGAATATAATGCTTAGTTAAATTAGCCAATCTCAAAAAAACAAATGCCAAATGTTTTCTCTGATATAAGGATTCTGATTCATAATGGGGTTGGTGGCAGGGAGCATAGGAGGATTGGACAAATTCTAGATTGAGCAAAGGGGTGGGTGGGGAAGGGAGAGGGCATGGGGGTAGGAAAGATGATGGAATGAGATTGACATCATTACCCTAAATATATTATGAAGACACGAATAGTGTGATTCTGTGTACAACCAGAGATAAGAAAAATTGTGCTCTGTATGTATAATATGAATTGTAATGTGTTCTGTGATCATACATAACAAATTAGAATTTAAAAAATTTAAAAAAAGAAAAGAAAAAGCAGCATCCCCCCCCCCCGCCCAAAAAATCAACTGGCTTCCAATTGGTTGCAAATGTGTATTTCAGTGTTCTGTACTGTACAAAAGCAATATGTGGAATTTTCAAAAAATTAGAAGATTTTGAAAAAAACTTCTGAATAAAATTTATAATGGATTGAAATATGCTCTGCCTACTTACCACATGTGAGGTAGCATGCAATTTAGAAAACATAGGTAAATAATAGGCCAATTTTTTAATTTCAAGATTTTTTTCATAATCTAGTAATATACAAACAAAGATAGCCATAATATATGACTATGAACAAATTGTAATGAGAATTCTGAATGAGAAGAAATATACCTAAGGGAAATCAGAAAGGAATTTTTTTGGTAGTTATAGATGGACAGAATGCCTTTATTTTTTATTTGTTCATTCTTATGTAGTGCTGAGGATCGAACCCAGTGCCTCATGCATGCCAGACAAGCACTCTAACACTGAGCGACAGCCACAGCCCCTCAGAAAGGAATCCTGAAGGAGGGTAAATTTTATCTAAGAAGATAGCATAAAAAACCAGACTGTTGGTATTTAAGGTAGTTTGATTTCTAGGTACCAATTACATTAAAAGTTTTAGAGTAGGCTTAGAGGAAATTTTCATTGTTAAATAATAAGTGGATAATATTAGAACAGAGCTAAGAGACAGATACTATTAAGAGAGGAAACTAAGACACACCAAGGATAGACCAACAGATAGAAAGGAGAGTCTAAGATGAGAGGAGACCAAAAACAATGAAGATAGCCTGACACAAAAACAGAGGTATCAAAAGACACCAAGAGAGACAAAGGGCAGAGACAAAAAGAGAGGAGGAGGACATACTTATGGACTAAATGCTTGCGTATCCCTAAAATTCATGTTAAAATCTTAATCCCCAATTGGGTGGTATTAGGGGATAAGGACTCCTAACACATCTTCTCATGGGAAGATGATTAAGTCACGAGAGCGGAGCCCTTTGGGGATTAGCCTCCCCATGGAAGAAAACTAAGAAAGGTTCATGGTAGGATCTTCCTTAAGAGCCCAACACTCAATTCAATTTAGCAACTCATAAGCGTTCTACAAGTTTCTTTCATAGTACTTAATCACAATTTAGAATTGTTTATACATTTATTTGTTCAATGTCTACCTCCCCAAATAAGGTGAGAGACTAAGAGGGCAGAGCCTATAAAATTCCAGGTCTGAAATCTTGTAGACACTTAGTTATTTACATAAACAAATGCTTTTTTCCTCTCATCAGAATGAAAATGTCATATAATCATATAGATTCATAAAGGTCAAACTAAAATAGTTTCTAACTAGATTGATGACAAATAATACAAGTATTTTCTTATTTAAAAAAAATCTCAAATCAGAACTCTGAACTTTAAACATTTTCTATACTGACAAGATACTTTGTACTTACAAACAGAAATTCTACTCATTCTTTCTCAAATTATTAAAATGCTCAACATTAAATTCAAACACATCAATAATGATACTCACCGATACTGATGTGTCCTCATTTTTTCTCTTAACACTGGAATCAAATAAGACATTTCTCCCTCGCCTTTCACAGTCTTGATATACAATCAATCGAATTTGACTTGGATCAAACTCTGGCAAAGGCCAACTTGAAAGAAAAATAAAGATCAGACTCACTTTAATAAATATACCACATACATTTGTATAAATAAAAGTTATACAATAGGGCCAGAAATTATATTATTACTGAGGAACACATATCTTTATATAAAATATCATTATTTATTTTAGGGTCAAGTTATACAGCTATAACATTTTAGATCAAAAATAAAGCAAAAACAAAATTATTTTATTTAAAAATAAAAGTTGTAACTATCATTAAGTACTTACAAAATATAGTCATCCTACATGAATATAAAAGGAGTCAATAAACAGTGCATTTAACATAGATAAAAATATAGGCTGACTTCACGGCATGGACTTAGATGACATAAAAAGATTAAACCCATATTTTAAAATAGTTTTTTTACTTCAATATAGAAATGTGAAAACTAAACATTTTCAGTTTAAGACACGAGTTTTAAAAAAGTGACAAGTGTTACAAAAATTCTTCTATACTGCTAATATGAATCAAAACTGGCATAATCTCTTCTAAAAACTGTGTGCATGTGCATGCGTGTGTGCGTGTGTTGGTGTTAAATGGACAAAAATCAACTAAAAATAAAGCTGACCTGAGCAATTCAGCTCAGCAAAGTTCAATGTAATAGAAAAATGTTCATAGAAGCACTGTTCTTAACAGCTAAAACTAGAAAGAATCAAAATGTTCTCCAATAGCAGAATGGGTAAATATATTGTGATATGCTCAGATTATTAAATGTTATACAACAAACACAAGAATGAACATCATCAGACAGATAAAAACAGAAATAGATCATAAGCAAAATAAATTAGACAATGACATATACACAAATAGCTACTGTACTTTCCCACTTACATTTACATAAAGGTTAAAAAAGGCAGAAGTTTTATCCTGGGATGCATACCTAGTTTTAAAATTAAAAAAAAAAAAAAAAAAAAAAAGGCATGGGCTGGGGGAGTACCAGGTGGAGTGGGGACAATGAATATGTTTTTTGTTTGTTTATTTTGGGTACCAGGAATTGAATCCAGGGGCACTGAAAAACTGAGCCACATCCCAGCCCTTTTTTATTTTGAGTCAGGGTCTTGATAAGTTGCTCAGAGCTTTGCTAAATTGCTGAGGCTGGCTTTGAACTTACAATCCTCCTGCATCAGCCTCCCCAGTCACTGGGATTACAGGCATGCACCACTGTGCTAGGCTTCATATGTTCTATGTTTTGACTAGACAATACTTACACAGATGTTCACCTGACATTCTCTATTAGTAAAAATCATATCAAGTTCATTTTATGCACTTTTATTAATGCATAATATATCACAATTTAAAAGATTAATAAGGTGGGTGAGGTAGGAAAGAGAGAAGAGAAAAAAACAATGAGTGGAATGGAGGAGAAACTAGCTGGTTAATTCAATGCACTGCTTACAGGAGAACTGGTAAGAAATGGAAGAACCAATGTAAAATGAAATTGAAGCTATTTGTATTTGGGTACATCAGGCTAAATGGTCAACTCCTTAGGCACAATTCTTGACTGGGTTCCTTCATTTCCTTAACTCTATTAATTCGTGTGAAACTAACTATAACTGGCAATATAAAACATCTTCATCTCAAATTATTGACAGAAAATACAATTTTAGTTTTCTCCTGTCTAATCCTTAGCAAATGCTTGTGTTACAAACTGATGAAGCCTTACTCTAGAAATGCAAGCTAAACCAGAGACTCATCCATAGACCACAGTGATTAGCATCACAGTGAACTGTTTTTACAAAACTGCATTTTCATGTTATGTCGAGGAAATTATTGAGACAAGGTAAGGATTTTGATAGGCAAATGGGACAAAAGGAAAAGAGGGCCATGAAGATGGAGCAAAAGACTCCAAGAATACAGCTGAAATAATGGACAGCAGAATCTAAGCTACTTAGGAAAGGCAGTGATAGTATGAGGCGAGCAGATTTGAAGACAATGAAGATACAATGGTCAAAGTGCTAAAAGGAAAAAAAAAGCAGAGAGTGTATAGGGGGATAGGATAAGGAATAGGAGATTACAATCATAGGGTAGAATATTAAAGATATTAGAGATAGTAGTACCACTAAACAAACTATAATTAAAGAGAGAGCATATTCATTAAAAAACAAAAGTGAAGAATAAATAAACTAGAAGTTGGGAACATTTCAGTAATTTTAAAGAAGAGAAGCAAAGAAGCCAAGAAAGATCAGTAAAGACAGACCACCAGAGAGAAAAAGACTCATGGGAAAGTAATATTTCAAAACCAAAGCCAAAGAAGATAAAGGAAGAATAATGCCCAGCACCAAATGTTGCAGAAAGGCCAAAATTCATAAAGACTGAAAGTGTCCTTAAAATTTAGCAATTTGGTGGTGTGGATACTTGTTTTAATCAGCTTTTTTGCTGCTGTGACTAAAAGAATATGGCAGAGGGAAGCAGCTTACATGATGATCAGGAAGCAAAGAGAGAGAGCTCTCTACTTGCCAAATACACATATATACCCCAACACTACCCCCCACCTCCTCCAGCCATACCCTACTTGCCTTCAATTACCAGTCAATTTATCCTATCAGGTGATTAATTCACTAATTGGGCTAGGTTCTCACAACCCGATCATTTCTCCTCTAGACCTTGCACTGTCTCATATATAAGCTTCTGAGGGACACCTCACACCCAAGCCATAACAGTACTGTAGTTAGAAAAGTGTCAGTGGAGAAAGAGGCGAATGAGTAGTCATATAACAATGCATTTAAAAAAAAAACTGAGAACTTAAGAGGGCAAGTAGAGGTTTCCCCATGAAAGGTGGAGACACAGCAATAGTGTGATGATGTAACTACCATCTAAACTACTATGTTTTGAAAGTAAAACAGACAGGAGGACACTATGATTATTGACAACCAAGCTCTATGGTCACCTCAGACAGGTAGAAGAGGTGAAGCTATATGAGGATTTTATTTTGTATTGACAGAGATGTATGTGTATGAAATATATAGGGGGAAAAGTATATATTTAAGCTATGTATTTCTAAGTCGAAGGTAAGGAAACAGAAAGAGTCAAAGTTAACAAGATGGAATTGTTAAATTAAGATTCTGGAGAAGTTGGGATAGCTTGGACAAGGGTACCCTAATAACACTGCCAAATATACTTAATGAGGCAAGAAAAAGATGGCCTACAAATGAAAATTAATGCAGATGGGTTTGCAGGTTGGAGACACAAAGAGAAACAAAACTGAACATTTAAATTTGATAACTTTTTTTTTTTTTTTGTCTAACAGGTAGGAGTCATTCATATTTATAAGCATATGTGAAGTAGGTGGCCTAAATTGGGCAATAAGGTTTGAAACAAAACCTAGCAAAATCATTAAAGTGCTAACCTGACAAAATCAGAAGTATAGTCAAGCTATATACTGAGGGCCCAGATGAATTGAAAACCTTAAATCTGTAATAAGACTAATTTTCTGCACTACCACAGAAGATCTCAAATGTGGAAGAGACAAAGACAGACCATAGATTTAATAGGAGGTTTTCTGAGCAGATACAAGGGAAAATAGGAAACAAGGCTGTTAAGAGTTACTTACCGAAAGAAGGTCTGGATTTACTAAGAGAATGTGGCCAGAATGCACCCGATTAAAGAAAAGGAGGGGAAAAACTAACAAACATGTGGTTTCAGTTAAGTTAAATAAGAAGTCTGAATGAGGATATAATGTTACGGCCAGAATGGAAAGATCTCAGAATGAGCAGTCTCAGCAAAAAATTAGGCTCATGGTATAAACCATGAGGAAAAGACCAAGGTCCATGGAATCAGGAACTGAGAGGTCAGAATGTTAGATGTGTGGGCTGCCCAAGATGATGACACACAGTGATCTGCAAAGACAAACTATCAGCTAAGTGTCAAAGTTCCTGAACAATACTAGGGAGCTGCTACAGGTTTCCAAATGACAAAACAGAACAAGGCATGGCACAATGTCATAAAACTACAAGAAGTAGTTTTCGTTACACAAGAAACAGTCTCCAGGCAATAATGGTGGGCCAAATTATTAAGCCTAATTTTGGGTAGTTTGTGGACAAATAAACATCCTTTACTTAAGGAAAAAAGGAAATATGGCCTGTGAAGGCAGAAAAGGTGAAGAATTTGTGAAGAAAGTGGGGACACATGGAAAGCATTATAATTGGTACAGAGAAAAGGCAGTATAGGCATTGGGGAGGATGGAAGAAAACATGAAGAAGGGTCTGCAGTTGGAGGGAATTAGACTTTGGGACATGCCTGAATATCAACAGAGGAATGAAATAAAAGAGATTTAAAATAACCAAGCCTATATTTAAGTGGAAATCTGTCTGAGGCTGTTTTGATCTAGAAGAGACATCCATATAGAATACTAATTCAAAACAGCAGCAGCAGCAGCAGCAGCAGCAGCAGCAGCAATAAGAAATGCTGATCAAGACTCGATGGGGAGCTGGGGATATAGCTCAGTTGGTACAGTGCTGGCCTCACATGCACAAAGCACTGGGTTTAATCCCCAGCACCACAAAAAAAAGAAAGAAAGAAAAAAAAAAAAAAAACACCTCATAGGGTGGGGCTAGGGATGTGGCTCAGTGGTAGAGTGCTTACCTAGCATGTATGAGGCACTGGGTTTGATTCTCAGCACCACATACATATAAATGAATGAAATAAAGGTCCATCAACGTCTAAAAATAAATAAATGAATAAGAATATAAAGAAACTCATTGGGGAAGACATCTGTGCTTTGACAGAGTATATGCTTGAAATAGAGAGGGGTTACTACTAAAGCCCCAATTGTCTTTACCTAATAATGGAAAGAAGATGTGAATTAGGATATTTATAATCATATAAGAATGATAAAAAGTGGCCTAACAAATTATTGTATTTGCACTATACTAGGAAAACATGATATTAAAAACAATATCCCAAAGAGGATCCTTCAAAAGGCAAATAATTTTAAATGGTAAAAGTCACCTGAAATTTATTCATTTCATCGAGTGAAAGAAAAGTGA